AGGAGCATATAATTCTACGACATTTGCCTAAGTTATACAAGAAGGTTTAATGATGCACATGTAATACTGAAAAAAATAAATTTTAATTGCAAAGTATGAACTAATCACTGTTATTATTCCAGATAAACTCTGAGCAAACCATTATACATGCTGCCAGATACTTTTATGAATGGATTTACATGCTATGTTGATCAGGAGTGATAATTTTGCATATGCATAAGGCCCTTGGAGAATGGCTTTTGCAGTCTTTGAGGTTTCAGGAAGTTCAGTGTTAAAGCATTCTCAAACCTGGACACATTCTTCTATTACTCAATCAACCACACAACCTAGCTAGAATAATGAGACAGAGAACAGTCATCCTCATGCAAATCCTGTTAGTATTAAAGCAAGACACTATAATCACTCCCTGAGTTTTGAGACTTCCAAGTGGACACAAAAGAGCCAAAGAAAGACATGTTTTGTAGCTCTGGACCTGGTCACCCATCATGTAAAGGTTGGATTAGACAACTTGCTGTTAGTAAGTCTTGAGCACTTAGGCTTAGGGAATAAGCAAATATATTAATCGAGAGACCCAGAAAAGCAAGAGAAGATTCAAAGGATATTTTCAGGAAATAATAAAGTGCTGCACTCTCAAGAATGGTGATCTCCAACTCTGAAAGACATTGAGAATTCATCATTTTTAGCAGGCAGCAGGAAATCAGAGATGTGCCGTGATGAGACTTTTAATACCCCTTTAAAAGACATGTAGATTCCATCCTCACCATGACATTAGATAAGAAAATGCTTCCGTGGAAAAAAGCCTATCACTCTCAAGAATCTCATGTTTTACTGTTCCATTAAAAAAATTCTCCAACACAGATTTCAAACACTTAGGATAAAAATGCCACCCCTCCTCCCAACTCATGCAAGGCTCCCTAAAGTTAGATATTTTCTTGACTGATCAATATTATTTTTTTCACAAGACATTTACTTTTGAGTTTGAGTTTGAAATAATTAGTGTGTGAATTATTCTTACTTTTCATGGCCTGTTCCTACATCCATAGTTAATCTATTTTATGTTAATCTTTATTTTTTGTCATGCAGGAGATTGAACTCAGATCCTCACCCATGCTAAGTAAGCATTTTATTACTGAACTTCACCTTCAACCCTGTTAAAAATTTTAAAGACAGAGATGCCATTGGTTAAATTAGTAACCCCTAATTTCAAATGTAAGATTTTAGTCATTCTGGATAGAGAAATTTCCTTTGGGGAGTAGTAGTAGTAGTACTGTTCCAGGCTAAAGTTCATTTGCTTGATGCTCCAACATCAACAGAATTGAGGAGACTCAGTAAGAAGGATATCAGGCTTATGAAAGGAAAAACACCCTGAAATATTGAACCAAATTTTAATTTTATCTTCATATATATTTATATATATATAAATTCTCCAAGGAATATTACTTGGGGAATTAATGAATGTGAGTGAGATTTTTATAGATAATAAAACAAAATATCCTCAGATGGTCCTTCTACCCAACCTTCATCCCCTTTTGACTCTGGCAACACTCCTTATGAAAACTCATGATGACCAGCGTTCTTTCTCCACTGGCATTTTAAGTCATTTTTTTTCTAGGCCATTCCTATCTCTTTGTTGAGAGAAAACCTGCTCCCTTCCATGGACTTCACAGTGACCACATTTGGTGTGGACCTAGGTAGGACACTAGCATTCTTATCTCTCTCCCACATCTGGCATCCATAAGGTATTCCTAGTCCTGCTGCCATTTCACATTTGAGCCCATCTTCCCAGGACACATCATCATGCCACATGTGGCACTTACTCAATGTTATTCTAGGTATTCTTTTGTCACCCTGTTCAGCTATTTCTTTCATGCCATCATCATTTTGTTGTGATTATTCCCTGACTATAGATTCTCTCTCTCTTTACTATTACAAGGCCACTCACCATAGTCCCTTCTCCCAGATCATCCCCAGTTCAATGAGACTACCCAGGAAATTCCTAATGCCTCTCCCAGTACTGTTTATGGTGATAGGCCACAAACATATGTAAACGAGCTCTAGGTTCCGTCCTCTTTCCATCATTATCACCCACCCCATCCAGTGCAGTGATCTGTGATTTCCTCGAGTCTGAACACAGAGTTCCAACCAGAACTTCACATGTGGAACCAGTTAGAATCTGAAGTCAGAAACAAGAATATCCTCAAGAATGAAAAACTGCTTGGTGGTGGTGGCGAACACCTTTAATTCCAGCACTCAGGAGGCACAGGCAGGCAGATCTCTGTGAGTTTGAAGTTGGCCTCGTATCCAAGCACTAGTTCCAGGACAGGCTCCAAAAACTACAGAGAAACTCTGTCTCAAAAATCCAAAAAAAAAAAAGAATAAAAAGAATGAAAAACAATCATCATTCTGGTCAATATTTGTTAGATTTGTCAACACAAATCAAAGAGCACAAAACTGATTAATAAAAACAGGACAAGATATCCACATCAAAGAATATTACAAACTTATCAAGTTTAGATGCCTAGCTACCAAGGACAAAACTACAAATGTGAAAAACCAACACAGTATGATTCCTCTAGATACCAGCACCTCCACTGTACCATTTTCTAAGGAAATCAGTATAGATGAAAAGCATTTAAACAAGCAGTTATGAATGTGTTCAAGGACCTTAAAGAGGTCATGAATAAATGCTCTATATAAAGATCATGAAAATACAAGCAATTTAATGAAACAATGAAAATAATTCAGGATATTAAAGTTTGACTTATCAAAGAAATTGAAAGACCCAAGAAACACTAAACTGAAATAAATTTAAATTGAAATTTAAATAAAAAGCTTAGAGGAAAGTGTTACCAACAGATTGAATGAATTGGAAGACAAATTTCCAGGTGTTGAAGAAAAGATAGGAGAAATAGTTTCAGCCCAATAAAATATTAAACAAGCAAAAACAAAAGACACCAGACATGTAACATCCAGGAAATTGGGACACTATGAAAATCTAAAATCTATGAACAATAAGTATAGAGAAGCCCCAGTAAGAAAGGGAAGACAATATTTTTAACAAAAATCATAGAAGAAAATTGCACAAATTCCGCTAAAGAGATGCCTATTAAAGTGCCAACAGCATACAAAATACCAAATAGAAAGGGCCAGAAAAACCTGCCAATGATACATAATAATCAAAACACTGAATGTACAGAAGAAAGAAAACATATAAAAGTTACGAGGGAAAAAAATCAAAGTCACATAGAAAGATAAACCCATTAGAAAAAAAACAACTGATGTTTTTAATACTCTTATTTACTTGTTTTTTTTTTTGAGACAAGATTTCTTTCTGTGTATAAGAGCCCCGAGTGTCCTGGATCTCTCCTTGTAGACCAGACTGACCTTGATCTCACAGAGACCCTCCTGTCTCTGCCTGTAAAGTTCCTGGATAAAGGCATGGGCCACCACCACTCAGGTTTTATAGTGAATTTTTAAAAAATTGTCATACATATTTTCCCCTTCCCCAGTTACTCTCAGATGTTCCCACCTTACCTTGCCAAGTTTATGCTCTTTCTCTCAATTTCTTTTTCAAAAATGAAAAACAGAAAAAAAATAACCACAGAAAATATCAAACCAACAAAACCAAAAAAGGAAAAGAAACACCACAAAAAGGAAATCAAAACAAATGAATTAAAAACACCAACAGGAAAAACAAAAGCCAAAACCAAGCAAAATGAAACAAAAGTCCACAAAAACATTGTTGAATGCTATTTTTGTTAGCCCACAAGGCCTGGCCTGAACTGTGTTTTATATTCTTACTGAGACACCTTTGGAGAAAATTGATTCTCCTTTTACCAGTCAGTAACAATTGCAGATAACTTCTCAGTTATGGGTGTGACTCTGTGTACTTCCTTTTCTCAGTGCTAAGACTCTATCTGGATTGAATCTGTTCATGGCTTCTGTGTGTTTCTTTGAGTTATGAGGACGATTGGCCTATGTTGTCTGGAAAACATTGTTTGGATTCATCTATCTACCTATTTATCTATTCCAAACATTCTTTTCTTATTTTAAATTCCATCCCTAGTTCCCACTTTCTTCTCACCTCCCACTCCCCCAACCCTCCATTTAATCTACCCTTATTAACTCTTCAAAGAGGTTAAGGTTTCCCATTTGGAGTCAACAAATTCTGGCATATCCCTTTGAGGCAGGATGACACATTCCCCTCTATGTCTAGACTGAACAGGGTATTCTTCCAAAGAGAATGGGCTCAGAAAAGTTAGTTTAAGTACAAGGGATAAATCCTGGTCCCACTGTCAATGGCCCCACAGGTTGCCCCTGCCACACAACCGTCACCCACATTCAGATGGCCTAGTTTGGTCCTATGCTGGTTCCCCCACTGTCAGTCCAGAGTCAGTGAGTTACCACAAGCTCAGGTCAGCTATTTATGTAATTTTCCCCATTATAGTCTTGACACCTTTGCTCATATTATCACTTTCCCCTTTCTTTGTCTGGACTCTGGAATATCTGCCCAGTTCTCAGCTTCGGATCAATGCATCTGGTTCCATCAGTTGCTGAATGAAGGTTCTATGATGACAAACAAGGTAATCATTAATCTGATTATAGGAAAAGGCTAGTTAAGGCTCCCATCCAGGTCTAGGAAGGTGAGCATCCAAACAGACTAGGCTCCCACATAGCCAACACATGCAGTAGAATCAAAACCCAGTACCATTGTGCCTGGCTTCTCAGTCAGCCCTCCTTGTCAGCCACATTCAGAGAGTCGGGTTTGACCACATGGTCCATCAGTGAGGACCTTTGGCTTCCCACAGGGCAGGAAACCCTGAGTGCTCTTTGGATACAGTGGGAGGGGGAGGGGGAGAAGGGAAGGGGAAGGGAAATAGGAGGAGGGGGAAATTTTTAACAAAAACAAACAAACAAATAAATAAAAATGATCAAGAAAATTTCTTCAGTTTTTCTTTCAATTTTTTTTCTAGTTTCATCCATTTGCCAACCCCTAAATGATGTCCCTAAACCCTTATTACTTTCTGAAAAGATCTCTTGGATCTTCTGTTGCTTTCTGTAGTCTTTGGATTAAACTTTTTGGTTATTCCCTTGGACTGGGTGCTCAAAGCTTACTAATAGCAAGTTATCTATTACAACCTTTCTATGTTGACTGCCCAGCCCCAGAACTACCAAAGAAATGTCTGGCTTTGGCTATTTTGTGGTCAATTGGATTTCTCAATACTCGAGGACTAACTAATGTGTTTTGGTTTAATAGCATCAGCAGTTTATTGAAGATGGGTGTTCTTTGTCTCATTATTCTAATTGGGATAGTACTGTTAGTGACTGGGAAAAGAGAGAATGTATCCAAGTTTGAGAACGCTTTGGATGCTGAACTTCCTGTTACCTCACAGATTGTAGAAGCCATTCTTCAAGCATTTTATGCATACATGGGAGCATCACTCCTGGTCACCATAGCAGGTAACTCCATTTATTAAAAAAATTACAGCAAAATAAATAAAGACTCATCAAGAATTTTTGTTTAAAATGAAATGTTATTGTTTACTGCTTGTAATATTATTTTTACATATTCTACAATTAATGGTCTCTGTAAAATTTGTTCAAACAGCATATGTAAAATTTACTTTACTTTGTGTTATGTTTCTTATATAATGCCTTGTGTTTCTTTTTAAAGCTTTAACAAAAACCAAGATCATCTGTCCATCCAGATTTTATTCTTCAATAGACTCAGTAATTTGAGGCATTTTCTGTTAAGAAATAATTATATAATTCATATTTTCAATGAAAATATATCACATATTTAAGATTTTTTGGTATATTCCACTACTTCTGCCCAAATCCTTTTACCTATTCAGATGTACAGAGAGTCAGCCATTCGATTTGAATTCTCTTTATTATCCATAATCTTGTACATGAAAATACCACTTTTCTCATATCATCAATAATAGCAAAATGATTAAAATGCCTTCACTAATTCATCTTGCATTGTTTTTCTTACAGTTCACTCCACAGTACTATTAGCTTTCTGTGGCAGTGATTTTTCTGATGCACTTCCTTTTCATGAACTTTAAAGTATGAAATTTTCCATATGAAAGACAAACATAGTTTTAGATCCTTCTCTATATACAATTTTGTTACTTTGTTGTCACATTGCATAATTTGATATTTGAAAGAATTTGGAAATAGATGTGCATGAAACTCACTTTAAACAAAAGTTTAGATAAAATAATTTACTTTATTTCATTCACATCACAAAGGTATAAAATATAAAATATTAAGGAAGAATATTGAATCTCTCTAAAACTTACAAACATCTTTTCAAAAATCATTGAATAAAAAACATTTATTTTGCTTTACTAGTTGTAACACCTCTGTTGGTTTTATTTATGAAATAATTGCAAAATTTTCCCAAAACTTAGAATTCTGTTTTCTTGAAATACTATAGTTTCTGATTACTAAACTTCTCCACAAGTTAAAGACTTCAATCACTCATATGTATTATTAAAATATTTTATTATATTTCTTAATAAGTGTTAATCCTACAAGTTAATGAGTTTCACTGTAATTTTTTATATGTCACACATTTATCCTGTCTACTCACCTTCCACTCTCTTTTACCTGCTCCACTCTTCCATCTTTACAAATTGTCCAGTTTTTCATGATATCTGTTCTATTTTCAGTCTTTCTCTGTCTGTTTTACTGTATCTGTCTTTGTCTTTCTGTTTCTCTCTCTCTCTCTCTACATATGTGGTAGGTGCCACAGCTGCTTTCATTTGTTGAGAACTGGAAATTCTGTAACAGATGCTAATCAAGTCCATTTTGTATACCATGTTTATTTCCTTATGACATACATTCAGAAATATGATGTGATATGATATGGCAGTCATATTTTCAATATTTTGGTGAACTTTCTCTCTGCCCTCTGTAGTAGGTGGTCGTATGTTTATTCTCAGCTACTCAGCCCCAAAATAACTACACAGAATCTATATTTATTAAATCACTGCTTGGCCTATTGACTCTTATTGGCTAGCTCTTATACCTTAATTTAACCCATTTTTGAAAATCTGTGCCACGTGGCTGTGGCTTATTAGCAATGTTCTCTCTTGTCTGTCCCTGGTGGAAGCTACATGGCATCTCCCTGACTCTGCCTTCTTTCTCTGAGAACTCAGTTTAGTTTTCCTCACCTAGTTCTGTTCTGCCCTGATATAGGCTCAAAACAGTGTCTTTATTCATTAACCAACAAAATCAACACATATACAGAAGGACTTCCCACATCATCTCCCCATTTCTGTCTAAATAAAAAGGAAAGATTTAACTTTACTATAATAGAATTAAATATAACAATACAGATATCAAGTAAGAATTACAGTTACAACATTTGTATATACTCTATCTTTTATCATAACTAAAGAAAACTACAACTATTTATTCTTCAACTTCATCAAAGACTCCAGAAGTATATAATATTACCTAGGTAAACAGAAATTCCATTGTAAGCAACTTCTAAAACTCTAGAATTGACAGAGACATCTCACTGCCTGGACAATCACCCAATGTTTTTCTGTATCATGGGAGCATCCATATTCAGTCTACAGGCAGACCTTCCATGAAGCATGAAATTTCAAAGACAGTTCCACTTCTATTGGCAGTTTGTCAGTCACTTTCTTCTGTGTCCTGCAGATTGTCTGGCAGATTCTTTCATGAAACAGGAAATCCAAAGGACTGTCTCACCTTTAGGCAAGTTCACCAGTCATTTCTCTGTGGGTCAAGAATGTCCAATTCCCACTGCATACCATTAAGCAGTCCAGTCAAGATCAATTACTTTCCCAAATGGGTAACAAACTCCATAAGGAGCCTCTTCAATGCCCATCTTCTGTTTCAAGTTATTGACACTTCCAGAAGCAGATATGTCTCATTGTCATGGAAAGTCTAAGTTCTTAAAACATTTTAAATGCCATATTATATAATCTTTGAAAGGTTTGAAGAATAACTATCCATCTCAAATATATCTGTACATTTAGAAAATCTAACATGACAAGCTTGACCTTTATAGATGCTTATCTATTGACCTGTGTTTCTTAATTATACACTACATTTTTAAATGAGCTGCACAAACATAATACCTTAATCAAAAGCAAAAATATACATATAACAAAATTGACCTTAAATTTATATCAATATACTAAGATCCATGCCAATGCAATGTAATGATCTCTATATCATATCCCCTTTAAATGTAAACAAACATTTATAATCAATATTTGGGAGTTTGCACAGCTGCTTCCCACTTTTTGTTGGGCTAAGTAATTTTTAGGGGTGTTCCCAGTGACCTTTCAGGTGGTCTTGTTCCAAAAAACCACATTAGTCTGGGAGAAATTCACAGGCTCTAATCCTCTGTTGAAATAAGAGCAGAACCTCATTTACAAAGCAACATATCCTTAGACCCTAATTCTGAAGTCAAGATACCTTTATGGTAGAAAATCTTAGCAGCCCATGCAATGAAATGTCTCTTTGTACTTAGTTTCTTCACAGTCAAAAATTCAAATAAAACTCAATAATATACATAATCCAGACTCTTTGTGTATATTCCATCTTTACATGGTTTATTTTCTTACTCTATTACTTTTTTACAAATTTAATATTTATGTTATTTTTATTCCTATAATCTATGACTGTCTGTAATTTTTTTTTCAATCTAGAAGTTGGGATTTTATGTTGAGTTTAGCTCCTAACATGCTTTATATAGTATTTATATATATTTATACATTTCATTTTATACATTTTTCATTTATTTTTATGAATTAGGTTGTCTTTTCAGTTCCACGGTACTTTTATCTCTACTGTTTATTTTCATTGAATATCACTTACCTCAACCTTTGCTTGTTTCATCTAATGCTCTCCTTTTCTGACTCCCAATATTTTACTCTCTGCTTGATTCATTCTATCTTTCTTTAATTTTTATAGTAGGGTTCTTAGAGTTTTTTCAACCTTACTTTCATTTTAGCTTGAGTTCTCTCTCTCTCTCTCTCTCTCTCTCTCTCTCTCTCTCTCTCTTTATAAATAATACATAGTGATTTATATCCCAAAATATATAAAGGCAGGACAGCAAGGTGTGCACCCACCAATGGAGACGGTGGGACTGATCTAATGGGAGCTCACCAAGGCCAGCTGGAATGGGATCAAATGAACATGTGATCAAATTGGACTCTCTAAATGTGGCTGAAAATGAGGGCAGACTAGAAGCCAATGATAATGACACCAGATTTTGTTTCTACTGCTTGTACTGGCTTTTTGGGAGCCTAGTCTGTTTAGATGCACACCTTCCTAGACCTGGATGGAGGGGGGCCTTGGAGTGACTGATGTGATTAAAGTTGTACACCATTATGGCCTGGCCTTTATGGTGGACTGGAATTGCTGCTTTGCACTCTGATCTTCAGGCTAGCTTTATTAAAAGATAAATGAAATACCATACTTTCTTCCCATTTTTGTCCAAAATAAAAAGTCTATAAATGTTATAAGAATAACTATGTACAATAAGTACAATAACTATATGCAAAGGCAATAAATATATCAACAATGTCTTGTCCATATACATCTGAAAAATTCAGAGAAAATACTTCATATCTATCCTATCTTGGGTTCAAAATCTTTTACCTAATTTACTTTCTATCATGCTTTTCTTTCTCCATCAGGCAAAAAAGGAAAACTCTAAGTACTTAGTCCTCAACTCCCTCAGAGACCCAAGGCTAAAATAATATTAATTAAGTAGGCAGGACGAGCAAGCAAACAACATCCAAAAATGTGAGAAATGACAGAAATATCTGGCTGCCTGAACAGTCACCCAAAATTCTTCTACAATATTGGAGTATGCATCTTTGCCCTACAGGCCAAGCTTATTTAACAGACTTTTCTGCAAATCAGGATTTTCTGAAGTGCATAGAAGCCTGTGAGAGACCACTCATGTAGTTTCATAATAGTAAAGGTTATTTGAATATTCCTCATTGATCTACATTCATCAGTTTTATCCCTGCCTTTCCCAAACCTTCTGCATAATCTAGAAGGGAATCGTGTTATGAATGTATTATTGTTCTTTGTAAAATGTTGTCTCTAGGAATGCCTTGGCTACAATCCCTTTTAAAGTGACCTTGTTTACCACAATTATAACATTTAAAATTTTGATTTTCCTTAAACCTCTGTGTTGGGAACCCTTCCCCAACCTCCTTGGTTATGGATGACCCTGAGTAGTGCCACACAAATAAGGACACAGGGGATGCAGAGTAGGAGATACAACTGCATACTTTATTACAAAGCCAGTGCTCTTTTTATAATACTTAAATCATGATTCAAACTAGGTTCCCATAATACATAAAAATGGTTTCATAGACTAGTCACTTGGTTTCAACTAATTTCAAGAGCTTTGTGCCCTAACTAATCTAAACAAAAAGCTTGGTGTTATGGAA